CGACTAGATGCAAAGGTGGCATTTATTAACCGGGAGCTAGCGACAGTTTTTAGTGACTTATTTTATCGTCGATAAAAGTATGATAAGATTTTCAATATAATCACGTAAATTACGGAAACCAACCACTTACACCCAGTTAGCGGGACAACGCCTTCCTAGAGCATTATTATTGTGTAATAAAAAAATTAAAAAATAACCTTATTTTATCGTCGTTGGGCTTTTGTATGGTTATCAATTAACATTGGACGATGTCAAAAATTGATCACTTACACTTATTTAGCGGGACAATGGACCGCTTACAAGCGCGCAAAATTGTAAAAATTTTGGCGAAAATCGACCTAAGACATCGCATTTTAAATTTATCATGGACATAAAGTAACGTATTATACATGTAAAAATAATGTGCTTACATCTTATCCGCGGGACAAAGCTATTGTAAGTGATCGGCAAAGTCGCCGCCGCCCTTTATATAAAATGTGGGCAAAAATAGAATTATATACAGATTTAAATGAAAATTCGCTTCTTAGTAAAATTGAGGACGGTAAATTCAAAAATGCAATTCGTTTTTGGATAACTTTCATACTTTCACTGTAAATTGACAGTTGACAATTTGGGTTCTTGTGGCATTTACATACTAGGTAAGTACATATCGTTCGTTCTATTTTCAGAAGTGAGGTGTCAAATGACAGGGCTTGGCCTGTAGATGTGCAATAAAGTTTTATTTTTTTGTAAAGGCTTGCCACCAAGTTAAATGAATTAGATATTACAATATGGATATACAATGGAATGGTTTTGAAAATGCTTTACTTCTAAACGACACATAGAAGGGTTGCCACCTGTTTAAAAAATCAAATTCACTTTAATTAAGGGAATAAGGTAACGGAAATATGTACATTAGGCTGGGTCGATTTTGTATAGGGAAAAATAAAAGGCATTTGACCGTTTTGTAATTGTAATATTATGATGTCTTAGGTCTAAGCCAATAGTTCTTGGCCACGAAAGATTAATTTAAAACTTATCTTTAGCCCGCGCAATTGAATCAAAGTGTATGAATTTCGAAAATTAAACTTTGGCTTGTAATATCTATGGAATTCGTTAATTGTTATAAACAGGACGATATATCAAATTAAGGGTTATTAAATTTTGTACCTAACGTTCGTTTGTCATTTTTCAATAAGTCTACAAGTGATTAAGATACTAAGACAAAACTTACAAAAGCTATAATTTTCCCTTTTGAATTTTCAATTCTTCATTACTTCAGCAACACAGTGAAAAATGTTTCAAGATCGTGGTGAATGAAGTCAAACATGTATTGCCAAAGATTAGGAATTGTTTGATAAGTTAATAGTTTCAAGCATATAAGTATTTAGATACATTAACTTAATACAATTAGGGTGAGAAACGCCCATTTTAACTCCATTTACGCAGCCTTTGAAATTAGTGCGGATGGTTTCATTAGTCACCGAAGAAGCACGTTTTTCGAGGTTTCTAAATTTGCCGTTATATGAAAGTAACGGACGTGCAATAAGTGTTTAGATATAAATATTTTAGTTAATTCCATTATGTGACAAAAAGACTGTAAATGTAATAGTCTTTAACATATCCTGGTAAATCCTTTTGAGGACTCGCCACTTGGACGATATTGTTTTGCAGTCAGCTGGAACGAAGAAAGTTACTACCTGACACACTTTTCTGTACCCCGGTTCTTTTATTTAAAAGTTATTTATACAATTGAGAAATTTTTTTAGAAAAAAACTAGAGATCCAGTTAAGTTTTTCGATATAACTTTGGTAAATGTTACTCGACCGTTAATACGTTACGTTATAATTACCAAAGTCTCGCCTACTGTTACTGATTTATGATAATAATATGATGAAAATCGTTCAGATTATAAACAAATTATTTTAAAATAAAAAATGTTGAACAACATTTTTTGTAATTTTCCAATATTTGCAATTTTTATATTGTATGCATAGATATAAGTAAACTAATTAGTGTTTCTAGAAGTTGTGCCTGTTCAGTGTTTCCATAATCATTTGCATAAACAAAACCATAAACCGAAATTGTACCTAAATTTGCAAAAATTCGTAAACTATAGCAAATATTTAAAAAAAGATTAGAATACTTGGAACCAGCGACCCAAATGCACCCCAGCAATATTAATGCTGTTCTTTACATCTCTTGACTATAGGCCAGTGCAATTATCAAGAGAACAATTAAAATTTCGTTGGAAAAATATATATTTATATATATATGAAAAAATGCGAAGCACCCTCAACAAAAAAGATTGCCAAAAATTAACGGTAAGTCCAAGATCCTTAAAATTTGCACTGTACTAAAATTTGGTAGGCTACAAAACTGAATATCAAAATTTTGTCTAAAGAGGCTGGTGAAGAAGTTAGAAATTTTCGTCAAACTTTGCAGTTTTCATAATTTTGCATAAAGTCTGAAACTTGAATTTGTATTGTGTTTGTGTTGTGTTAGCTATATTTTCATAAAGAAATGATAAACGTTAAATAAACTAAAAAAAATAGCCGAAACTTACTAAAGTGTCGCCCCAGTTTTTATTTGGTTCAATGTATGTGTATGTCGGTAACCGATTTATCAATTTGCACCAAACTCAGTGCAATTATTGACCTTGGTATAAAAAAGCTACGTGTTGAAAATCTCCGAAATCAGACTAAAATTACTCCAACTTTTCACTTAAAAAAAAAAAACGTAAAAAACGTTAACAACGTATGATACATTGCTTTAAAACGTTGCACCACGTTAGATTTTGTATCCCAGCAGCTGAAGGAACTCATACATGAAATTTCAGATTTGTGCTCGCGACTTAAGAAAAAAAAATTTCACTAATAAATTCGAAGTTTCTGAGAATTGACCATATAATTGTACGAATTTTGGAAATCAAATTTTGAATTCGTAATCAGTGACTCCGAGAGTTCTTAGAAATCAAGTTTCATTACAATCCATAAATATTTTAAAAAAGTCATCTTGAATTTTGAAAACTTAATACCAGCTTCGGAATCACCGATGACGAATGCCCCTGGATACCATGTTTCAAAACAATCAATAATTTAAGAAAAATAGCCCACTATATTTGATCCGCCATTTTGAATTTTCAAAAATTTAATAAATATTTCGAAATCAGCGATAACGAAAACCCCTAAATACCAACTTCCATTGAAATCTGTCAAATACATATTGAGTAAACATTTCTTTCGTCCTATATTCTCGATTCGTCCCTATGTGCGGCGGCGACTTTGCCGATCACTTACAATAGGTTTGTCCCCCGGATGCGATGTAAGCACATTATTTTTACATGTGCAATACGTTACTCTATGTCCATGATAAATTTAAAAGGCGATGTCTTAGGTCGATTTTCGCCAAAATTTTGACATTTTTGCGCGCTTGTAAGCGGTACATTGTCCCGCTAAATATGTGTAAGTGATAAGTGATAACCGTACAAACGCCCAACGACGATAAAATAAGGTTATTTTTTAATTTTTTGTTACACAATGTGAAACCTCCTGACACCGAAAGGTCCCACGGTGTGATGTAAGTGTTGTTGTTTTTTAATCTACAGCAGTAAGTTTAAGTCCCCGATATGTTGTCTTTGACGATAAAATCGGCACATTTTTACTGTCGCTAACTCCCGGACTATTAACTTTTCTGGAATATTTCAGTTTTTTCCAAGAAGTCAACTCTTTGTACCCTACTATTTTCTTCTATGTTTATTTTCTTCAATAACTGAGCTAGACTCCCACTACCTTTAGTATTTTCCGCTAGTCTTTTCTGCGTATGTATTTCTTTGCATTTTGTCCAAGGCCTTCATATACTAACGCGCGTAAAACCTGTAGAGTTGCTCAGTGAGCTTAACATCGCGTTGAAACGTCTGTACTGAACATTCATCCAGTTCACTCTTCCAAACGAACTGTTGGTCCGTGTATACTTGGCATTACATACATCGTCTTTGGTTAAACAATTGAAGCGTGTATTCTTGCCACTACATCAACTTTGTCGCATTATCGCGGTTTTTGCAGGCAATAAATCAGCCATAAAGAATAACAGTGGAGCAAAAATGCCCAAGCCAAACTTGCTTTAGTATCGGGTTTCGATACGATTATTTGTTTTTCGATACCTACTCAGTATTTTGTTCAAAAGTATCGATACCATTGAATACGGATGGCAAATAAAATAATCGAACTTTTAAAGGCATTTTTTTACAGTGAGTTTTCGCAAAAACACTTCCATAAAAAATTTCTAATCCTCTTTTTAATTAGCCTTAAATAAAATAAAACGAGTGTTTTAGCGGCGATAATTATTTGTTATTTATCAAAGTTTGCAAAATCAAGAGATTTGATAAGCGTTTTGTTGTTAAGCGGTTGCGTTTTGAAGAAAAGCGCTCAGCAGACCCCGGGGTACCAACTTAATGACAGTATTTTTACGAAAGTCGGTAAGCCTTTGGGTAAACAGTTTTCATTTCCTCCCAAGCGTCGGAGATATTCCGCTTTAGTTCTTGGAATTGACAATTTAAATAAAAACTCATTTCTTTTAGTGGGCGCCCCAAATCATCATCTTTTCTTGAGGGGTCCAAAGATCGATGGGTGGATTTTAGAAAACTACAGAATTCATATTTCTTGAAAATATTTTTACGATTATTTTACAATTAATCGATTAATGAAACACAAAACTACGATACAAGTAAATCGTAAATTTGACAAAACAAAGATCGATTAATTTAATCACATGATTAATCGCCGCCATCCCTACCATTGACCGTAGCCGCGAAATTTGTTATGTAAATAAATGGATTTTATTCTGGGGTTCCCTCCTATTGAGTTAATTTTTCCGATTAGTATGTATATAATAAAATGTAAACATTTGCACTTTTCCCACATTTACATTAAACAAATTTAGCATCTAGCTAATGTTAATTTAATAATTTCGTTATATCTAAATATTTGTCTAATAGTTTTACCTACTTTATTAAATTTCAGTGGATGTATATTGTTCCTGTTGTTTTGCTGTTATTCATATCTGGAGCAACTAACCAGGATGCCTCAAAATAAATGTTTACTATTATTTTTAAAAAGATCTAAATAAATAAAATAGTTTTTTTGCCTAATAACAATTATATTCAAAAATTTTTTTATTGAGCTTGATGCCGTTTTTAATAAAAAAAAGTTGTGGAAAATCAACATATAATTTTCATTTTACTAGAAGTTATAGCTGCTATTTCGGAGATAACCAGCCCTATCACTGAATCCATCGTAGAAAAGTTACGAGTTCGAATGTCCGCAACGAATACGAAAGAATTGCTATCACTGAATCCATGTGAACTCGAAAAAAGTGCTGCCAAATTCAAATGTAAATTTTCGGCCATTCAAAGTCAGCTGTTGTGAAGTAAACAAAGCGTTTAAGCAAAATTATCATGTTGTAAAACTTCTTAAACTAATATTTTGTTAAAATGGATACCGTAGCTTGTGCGATCGTCTTAATAGATGAAAATTAGCAAGGGAATAACAAGGGATGCGAGTAATCCACTTGAATTAGACGAGGCTATGTGAGTAAAACTAACATTTTTATTTCAAAGGATTTTATACGTTTTTTTTTTTCTTTTAAATGTAGGTTTATAAAAAATTATAGACTTAACAAAGCTTCTTTCACATATGTGCTCGGTGAATTAGAGGAGGGAAGCGCAATTAATCAAATCACACGCCTGGCATCTGTGCTACGCTTTCTTTCGGAAGGCAGCTATCAACACGGTGTTAGAAAAGATTTTGATGCACCAATGGCTCAATCAACGTTTTCCGGTATTTTAAAATCCACACTAGCAGTCCTGCAAGCACGTTTATATCCTCATTGGGTAAATCTGAATATGACAGACGCAGAAACACAAAAAGCCAGTTTGCATGGAACGCATATAAAAATCGTTTCACCGAAGGAGGACAAATTTCTTTTTTATAATCGGAAAGGTATATTCAGCATCCAATGCCATGATTGTAAGTATATGCTTGCAGAAGCCAAAACTGAAAATTTTTATAAATTTTTATTTTATTTTTAAAGATTTGTGACAATGAAATGCGAATCAGGTACGTCAATGCACAATACCCAGGATGTAATCACGATTCTCACATATGGAATGTGAGTAGTGCAAGGTCCTTTTGTGAGAGGAAATATTTAGAAGGCGAGAGGAATTGCTTATTATTAGGTACATACAAATTTACTATGGATGCACGCATATGTTTGTATGATATTTATGACATTTTTTACAGGTGACGCCGGCTACAATGCATCCATGGTTAATGGCTCCGTTTCGTTCACCACAATTAGGTAGCCCAGAAAGTGTATACAACAAAGTACACTCAAAAGCAAGGAATATAGTAGAAAGAACTATTGGAGTTTTGAAAAATCGTTTCTGATGTATTTTAGGAGCTCGCGAACTCCACTACGAACCCTCAATAGTAAGCGAAATCGTGAACTTGGCAGCGGCTTTACACAACATTTGCTTGCACTACCGCGTTATAAATGATGTATCAGAACATGTTCCAGAACCATTGTCCCTCAGCGAAGCCCCTGAAACAGCAGCCACTAGCACTAATGAAGCCGCATCACAGATTAGGCAATCCATTTTGATGACACTTTTATAATAAATACTGATATTCATCTAATTAGCAAAATAAAATAAAAACTATTTGAAATTCATTTTATTTCCTTTATTTAGTTATTTTATTCACACTTAGTTTTTTTTATTTTTATCTAACAAATACAGTTTTCTTAGCTCTATTTCTAACATTTCTTGCTTTATTCTATTTTTTTCAGCAACCAAGTTTAAGTACGCAAGGTTATGTCGTCGCATTTCAGCAAGTTCAGACTTTTTTAGTTCGTACGTCTTATCTGTTAATCGACACAATCGGCGGACACTTGATGCAATATCCTCCAACTTCTCTTCCTGACGTTTAAAACGCTCTTTGCTTTCTCCAAAAAATTCATATTGCATCTGTACTTGCTCTCTCAGTACGTTTAATGTTTCCGAGTCCGTTCGTTTTTGTGGAGTGGAAGTACGTAGTGGCAGTGATGAACTACAAGCTTCCGACACCATGGACACATCAGCATCGTTTTCCGGGCCTTTTTCCTGAGGATCTTCAGGTAGTCCGACACTAACTGTATTTTTGCCGCCTGAGGTGCAGACTTGTAACGCTGCCCGCTTTATCACTCCCTCCTCCAAATCTGTAAAACTATGCTGCCGATTTCTTCCGCCCCCCGTAGCTGTCTGCTCCCTTTTATTTTCCATGAGCTTGCGTTTGACATAGCACTTCCAATCACACCACACCTAAAATATTTAGAGTGTTTAAACACTTTGTGACCTTTTACATACTACCCTGCCCACCTTTAGTTGAAATATTTCTGCTTCAAGATTGTATGAACTAAAGGTGTGAAGTGTATGGACTAAAATTACTTACTTTTTTCCACGTAGACACATCTTTGATAGGCGGCCCAATACTATTCGGTTCTTTTGCAACGTTTTCCCAAAATGAAGTCACTTCCTCCTTTGAGTACCTAGTAAACCCTTGTGCTATATCTGGTTTCCCATTCAGCATTTCCAGCAAACAGGAATACTGTTGTCGCGTCGTCACAATTTTACACCTGTGAAAAAACATTTTGAAATTTTTTTTTACTAAATTTGTTAATTTTATCAAATTTACTTACATTGTATTGGTTCGATTTGCTTTTTCTTGTACTTTCTGCTTATTTAAATTTTCTCCCGCCAAATAAAACTCGTAGAAAATTTGTTCGATTTGACATTTCGAGTGGGTTCAGTGAAAGCAGTCTACGAATTTCGAAATTAGAATTCGTAGACTCTACGAAAGTCATGTTTACGATGGATTCAGTGAACGCAATTTCGTAGATCCTACGAAAATCGAACTTACGTCGGATTCAGTGATCGGGCTGAATATCTCCTTATCAGACTTCTTCATGGCGAACTTAGCTCATTTGGTGAGACCAATGGCTTTGAACGCCGAAGTTGCGAGTTCAAATCCGAATGAACTCGATGAAGTAGTCTGATGATCAGATGTGATGATCTCCGAAATAGCAGCTAAACCTACTACCAAAATGTAAATTATTGCTGTTTTCCAGAATTTTTTTTATCAAAAACGCTACCCTCAATATCTTTAACATCGGATTAGCGAATCGTATTTGAATGTCAAAATTTTTTGAATATCGTCTTAGAGCTCAAAATGTGTATAATTGAAAGGTTCATAGGGGTAGTTTTTACCCAAGAAATATGTTGACATTTTTATCTTACCAAGCAATCGTGATTAATAATAAATAGAATCTGCAACTCAAAATTGACAAAATCGTGAATTTCAATTTTCAAATTGTCCAACTATCCCCAAAAATTTTCCAATGTTCTGAATACCATATACCATCCTATTCTATTTTTTCGGCCCTTTTCAATGCCATCAACGGAATTTCATTATATCTTTTTAAGTTCGAGTTATTATCGATTTTTCTCAAAAGCAGTATTGTTTGTTTCTAAGGTTTTTTACGACGGAAATGCTTTTTCGATAACTGATTTGTTTTTTTAATTATCCTAATCTTGGGGCAATGTTTTCATTACGCCGAATTCAAAATTTGAGATATTGCGAATGCGCAATTTGGCTTTGCAAATCTCTTTGTATGTAATGTTTTTTTGCATTTTTTCGAACAACAAAATTAATTTGTTTCTTAGGTATAATCATTATTTCATTGCGGTAATAAAAATAAACTGCGAGAACTGATTTTTTTGTAGGTAAAGTAACGCCAAGAAAGTCACTTTGTAGAGAGCCAATCAACCATAAAGTATTTTCCGACATTCTGGAAAAGGGTAAATTAAATACTGAAGTCCAATCTTGAAAATTTTTTACAATCGTTCACTCCTAATTTTCGGACGTATGTATGTACTTACTTATTGTATATTCTATGTATTCGAAGCTCTGAAATCAAGGTGAAATCAATCTGCCTTACCATGAATATTTGGTGAAAAATTTCACCGGAAAATTTAGCAATTGTTTTGCGATTTTATCTGTGCGAGTGACAGTTATTTCACAGGTAAATACGTTATACGATAGTGTGAACATGATTCGAAGTGAACTACTTCGCTTGGTGAATATTCAACATACGATAGGTGAACTGCAAAAGCGAAATGTGAACGAGTTCACACGGCATGAAAATTCATGATAAGGCTGAACGTATAATGTCGTCTGCTATGCAAAAACGGGGCATAACCTATAGCTCCTCTGAAATCCTTAAGAATACATTGAAATATTCGACTTTGATTACATATTTTCTCCTCTAAAACGATAAAATACGGAGAAATAATAATTATACCTAAGAAATAAATTAATTTTATTCTTCGAAAAAATTCAAAAAAAACATTACATACAAAGAGATTTGCCAAATTGCGCATTCCAGGGAAATGCAATTATTCGTGTTTTTAAGCAATTGGTTGAATAACACAAGAAATAGTGTTAGTGGATATTATTCATTGCAGAATATTCACACATATGTACTAACACTATTTTAAGTGCGGCACACAAAGCGAGAGCATGTACAATGACTAAGTTCTCTGTTGATATGCATTGGTGTAGTGCTCAATTCTCTCATTGAGCCATTAAACAAATTAGATATACCGAAATGACTAGGAGCACTAAGAAGCACCAATAGTTCAGTTGAGTCATTTTAGTGAATTAAGTCATTTTCGTCGTTTATAGCAACAAAACAGGTACAAACGACGAGAAAGCGACAGCATGCGAAGGCACACTAACACACTCTCACTTTTAGCTCAGACTTGTTTATGGTGGCGCCCACATGTCGCACAGTGTTGGAAATGAAATTGTTCCTTCAGTACGAAATCTATACAAAAACTATACTTTTCGACTGTAAATTGCATCGACTTTTTAATTTGCTCATATATTTTCTAAGTACATGCATACATAGATTCCCTTCAAGATCAATGATTTGATAGTATTCATGGGAAAGTTTATGTAGGTACATTTTACACTTTGAACATAAATGCCCTGTGGGGAAAATCTCTAGATCTGAACTGGTGCGCTTCTAGTACATTTAGACCCAGTACTGGTTCGCGATAAATCTCTTTTGCATGCAAGCAACTGGCGAATTTAACATGGCGATGTCCTAGGAAGTGTCAATTGGAATTGGAAGAAATGTGAATTTGGAAGAAATCAATTTGAAATTAAATTTGTTTGAATGATTGTAAGAAATGTACGTTTACATACCTTTAGCTGTAGCTGAGTTTGCAGAGGTGCGCGCTGTTATTTCTTCGATTCCAGACGGTCCCAAAATGTTGAAATGCTAACACAAATTTTAGTTTCGTATTACCAAGCTATGAAAAAGCATCTGCGAAGCGCAGAATAGAAGCGTATTTGAACGAAAAAGCCGCCGAACACATATGTATATAAAGTAAACAAGCCCCCCGCTGCATACCTTATTCGATAGTTCCGAAATAGTTCTAAATTCGACAAATAGGATCTAGTTCGTTCTGCATCCCTTTTTCTATAGTTCCGAACCATTTCTAAATTCGGCACTTTAGATATAGATTTCTAGTGAAAAAACTGAACAAAATTAGTTTCTTAAAAGTACCACTTTTCGCCGATTTCGGACTGGTGGGGATCTAGTTCCTATCGGACTAGTTCCTTTTTGGCGGAAAAGACCTAGTACGGAACTAGAAATTTTATTCACTAGTCCGCGGTTTCCCTGCAGGGTGTGTATGCACATATTTTAAGGTACACTTCTTAACAAACACATTTTTTTAAGTCATTATGTATGGATAAAGGAGACATCTTCTTTGAATTCTGTACTAAAGTTTGACATTTTATTTTTAGTATTTCAAGTGCTTATCAAAACTTTACGACACTCATATATTGACAAGATTGGCCATTTCGTAGAAATTTCGGGCTTTTAACTCGATTTCCTAGAAATACATGTTTTGAGAATGCCGTTTGTAGTCCGATCAATTTAAATGAAGTGCAAGTTTAATATAGCTGCGACTTATCGTTGGTTTTTAATATATATATATTTTTTTTTGATGAAGGTGTTGCTCATTTTCTTCGTTAAAAAAAAAAATCGCGTTTAGATAATATGACATTGACGGCAAATTCCAGCTGCTTTAAACTTGCTTTTTATTATATCTACTAAAATTGAAATAGAAAGCTCGAAAGTTTGTCGATTTTTTTAATGTTGTTCAAAGATTTCAACTTATTTTCATACAATTTTTGTTAAGGAATTAACTATATTTTTATAAACAAATAATTAGAATTAAAAAATAATAAAATAAATAGTCAACTCTAGTCAATATATGAGTGTCGTGAAGTTATGATATTTAAGAACATAAAGAATTAACGATGACACTGTTGCTAACTATATGAAGCTGATTTCGACATTTTGTTTTAATAAGATTTAGTATCGAAAATATTCTTTCAAAACTTGCCTAGGAATGTGAGGTTGATAGCACACCTTTTGCTATGTTATAATGGTTATTTCAAAACCTCTTTTCAAAACTTACAAAGGCAAAAACGAGAAGGCGAAGACAAAAAGATAAAACGAATTCCCGCAGTGAATTTTCAGAGCTACGTATATATTTATAGTATTCATCACAAAATTGTACTAAAAAGTATTGCGTAGTAAACGAAATTGTATCAACAAAGTACAATTGTACCAAAAATGCCAACACTGATGTAGAACAAAGCAGAACACAAATAATATTAAACTCATTGAAATTATTTTCAGCCTCTCACTCGACCAAATGAGTAAAATCCAGCTGGGTAGACTGTACTCGATAGAGACAAAAATTGCCGCCACAAATAAGAGTTAGTATATTTTGAGTGTGTTCTTGTCTTGGTGGAAATTACTCTTAGTTATTTTTTGAATTAGTGTCAGTGCTCATTTGCACTAATTTTTATGGATCATGAATAAGTACACTAATTTTATTAGTACTCAAAGCCGGTCTCTGGCGCATTCACAATATTTCAAATTTTGAATTCGGCGTAATGAAAACATTGCCCAAAGATTAGGATAATTAAAAAAACAAATCAGTTATCGAAAAAGCATTTCCGTCGTAAAAAAACCTTAGAAACAAGCAATTCTGCTTTTGAGAAAAATCGGTAATAACTCGAACTTAAAAAGATATAATGAAATTACGTTGATGGCATTGAAAAGGGCGGAAAAAATAGAATAGGATGGTATATGGTATTCAGAATATTGGAAAATTTTTGGGGATAGTTGGAAAATTTGAAAATTGAAATTCATGATTTTGTCAATTTTGAGTTGCAGATTCTATTTACTATTAATCACGATTGCTTGGTAAGATAAAAATGTTAACATGTTTGAATTCCTGGGTAAAAACTACCCTTATAAACCTGGTGATTTTTTTGAAATAGCTCGAGATAGCTTCCAATTATACACATTTTGAGTTCTAAGACGATAATCAAAAAATTTTGACATTCAAATACGATTCGCTAATCCGATATTAACGATATTGGGGGTAGCCTTTGGAAAAATGTCTTTGGACATGTAGGGCAACTCATTTCTCTACTAATATCATGAAAAGAAGAAAAGATTTTTTTTGAACCGGTCTAGTGCAACGAGTATCAGTAAGGTTTGTCCATAAGCGCTATATAAAAAGGTGGAACGCTTAAGTTAAAAAATAAGGTTCTTACTGAGTTTAATTTTCTAAATTTGTAATAAGCTATCTTTTGAACTTGAATTGGTATCCATTGCATTATATTAGGGGTATTCCAGATCCAACAAATACTGTCTAGCATGGTGCATAGATAGCATAAATAGCATGATTGGACAATTTTGTTATTGTTCGAACACATGAAATAACAACAAAATTATCCAATCATGACATTTATTCTATACAGGGTGTCCCAGAAGTAACGTGGCAAACTTTAGGGGAAGGTAGGTGGGGAGGTGAGCTCCCTGATAAACAAAAAATTCTCAGGTACAAGTGTCACCGTTTTTGAAATATTTAAATTTTTTTGAATTAAAAAAAAATCGTGGCTTTTCATGTATTTTCTTTAACTGCATCTACAAACCAGGCTATACTTAGTAAATTTTTTATGTAAAATACTTCCAG